GAGGGAGGGAGGGAATCGACGCCGCCCTGTCGCCTCGCCCACGCCGGCCGCCCAGCACAACCGGTCCCGAGCGAGCACATGCAGGCAGATGATAGAGGGCGGCACACCAATATGTTGGGCTTACTCTGCTCGGTTCGCACAAACGCGCGGCACACATTATGTCACGCGGGCCCCGCGCCGCTACAGACCGCAAACCAAACAACTCACGGCAAAGCCAACGCGCCTATGGCGTGCCGTGCGGGGACAGCACCTCTTCCCCTTCCTCCCACTTCCCCTCCACTCAGACACCATTTGGCACTCGCTCTGTCCAATGTACAAGCCGTTTGTCCATATATCTCTGTGCATACAATTTAGCGATGTAAACAATGCAGATGGAGCCATGCGAGACAGTCAAAATTCCACAGTTGTATGAGTGTGTAGAATTTTATCTCCTGGGCAATTGTGCCTGTCATGCACAGACATGAAAGTATGCCGCGCTCCACGGTCGTAGTTTTACGCACCTCATATCATATCACACCTGAATATGATGACTCATTTCCATTTCCGATCTGCTTGTACATGCCCACTATACAGCTTTTTTTCTGTGATAATTGAAGACTTTGTCGATCCATGTGGCGAACAGAAGTTAGTGTCTATTAGTGCATCAAGGTTTGGCGCGGCCTCCCCCTCCCCGGCCCTGGGCTGGCAGGGCACGCCGGCGCGGGGCCCTACGGGTCCCGGGAACTGAGGTCGACGCAAAACTCAAAATCCTTCGGACACTTTAAAGTGTTCAAATTAACCGTTGAACACTTATCATTATTCAAATTTCTAGTCAAATCGAGGGGGAAACGACTAAGGTAATCCGGCTGACAGCCGAAAGGTAATCCGGCAGGGGTAATCCGAGGAAATTCTAAAAAATCCGTGGTAATCCGGGGGAATTTTGAGGTAATCCGGAAAAATTTTGCGGTAATCCGGAATAATCCTAGAGAAAAAGCAACGTAATCCGGAGGACACTCCGGAGGTTATCCGGGTAATCTGTAATCCGGCTGACACAAAGTTTAACAGTCGTTTCCCCCTCGAGTCAAATACATAGAAAAATGAATACATACTTGATTAAAATAGTAAGTTCCAGAATTAAGCAAATTTCCATTAGAGCAGGTCATATGTGGTCTGTGCAGTGTACTGGCTGCAAATACAAAAGAGCTAATTTTTCTGAGTGTGAGGTGGGTTGGGCTCGCTAGCTCTCGACCTCTCCCCCCGACCCCGACCCGACCTGCCCGCTTCAGGTAATGAGATGCGTCAGCCGAGTATAAACGGGGCGGCCGCGAGGTCCAGGCCCGGCGCGGGGGAGTACCGGGGAGTACTTGGGCTTTGGCAGTACGGAGAGGCACCATCCCGGGCCGAGGCCACCCCTCCCATCCAACACGCCGCCCCGGGGCCCCGGGTCCTGGTGGGCCCGCCGCGAGGGCCTTGTGTAACGCCAGCAGTCGCAGAGCTTCGGGGGGGAAGACGCGACGCGGACGCGACGACGAGACGAGGCCCTGGGCGATAAGAAATAGGTGCTGCTGAGGCTGTCGGGGGCGGTCGGGGGGTCTCCACTTCGCAACCTTGGTGTCGACCTCCTCGGCGCAAATTGAGTAAGAGAGAAAGTCTCCGTCGCAGTCGCCCCTCTGTTCTGTTCGCACTTGTCCCGGCCCTTCCCCGCCCCTCCACGCGCCACGCCGCACTGGGGCATGATCAAGGTGTCGCGGCTGAGAGGGGAGATGGCACGCGCGGATAACGACCGCACTGCTGGACCACAGAGCGCTGATCATGCCATTCACGGTCACAACGACTGATTTCGACGAAATGCGACCGTCAAAGAGTTGGATAAAGGACTCTTAGGTTTAAGGCTGCGATCACCGGGATCCACTGTTGACTACCAACGTCCACTTTCCGCCACTGCATGCACTGTGTACGCCAGCTACGTGAGCTCGGGCGAACCCCGAAGGCCGGCGGCCGGCGCATACAAACATTTCGAGATTGGGTGTTGTTTCCCTCTCTTTCCAATCGAAAAATAAACGTTCCTGGACCTGCCGGAGATGTGTCCTGTCTTCGAAATGATTCGGGTTTTCCCTTTGAGTGCGCTGCAAAGCTAGCGAGTAAGTTCTACGCAGGACGCTCAGCTCCGCCGCGACCACACGCCAGCCCCCATCATCCCGGAGGCTGTGCGGTGCGCACTGCAGCACTTAGCGGTTGTCGCCCGCCCCGCCCAGCCCCGCCCCCGCACCTCACACTCGACAACCACGTCCTGGACCCGCGTGCGTAGGAACCACGACCGCAACAGTGGTGCGACGCGGTGACACTTCGACCGAGAAAGACACTGCGTATCGCCTGAAGACGTCGGCTGTGATGCGGCGAGGTGACCCTGCGGCCCTGTTGCCTTGGCCTTCCCCGGGACCCGGAGCATCTAGGCGCTCAGCAGGCGGGGGCGGAGAGCGGGAGTACTGCGCACAGACCTAGGTTTTTCTCCGAAAAAACGTAGCTATAAGCAGATGTAATATACCAGGCGGCTGATTCACGCCGCGCACTTTCGTATTTCTACTGTATCGCCTGCACGGGTGCGGACGGGTTTGCCGATCCTCGCAGTCCATGGCTCCTTACGTGTAGGCACCCCATCCGCACGCGTGCATGCGGTACAGTATAACTACTACGAAAGTCCGCGGCGTGAATCAGCCACCTGGTAGTTGTAATTTTGGACGATTTTGAAGTCATTGAAGAGAGAGAGTAAGGAGGAACTGAATTAGTCGAAAAAAATAAATGTCATATGACATTAATGATAAAATTTTGACAAAATTGACAAATTTTCACAAATCTGTCATCAGACGCAAATAACAAATCTATAAGATTATTTTTGCAAATTTTTCTCGCTTGACATTAATCCAGACGATTTCTCTGTCAAATGACACACCCAGAGAAGCGAGTTCTTGATTCAATCCCAGTGCCGGGCTTGATCTCTTGTACTTGACTTTTGCGCTTGATTTGATCCCCGCTTGCGCTCGCTCATTGGCTCTCCTCGCCGAGAACTTGTGAGTCGAACCAACCTCAGAATGTACTTGCCTCGCCTATCGCTCGTAAGTGAGAGAGAGAAACTTTACTAAAATTGGTTTGATTCCGGGCGGACTCGAACCCGCACACGCCAGTACGAGAAGCTGGCGCGCTATCCCCTGCGCTGCCGCTCTGCTGCTGGGAGATGCGGCCCAGCGCAGCGTCTCAAGCTGCAGCCAGCAGTCGCTTGCCCAGTTCCGTTTCGAGTTATCCCCTTTGGACCGCAGGTGCGCTCGCGTCGCATCTTGAGGGGAGAGGAGGGGGGGGGGGCGCATGATTCAGTCTGCTAGTGTCCGCCGGAGCGAAAGCAACGACTGTTGGCGCCGAGACCCGAGAGTCTATAGCGACTGCATCACTTGTTCGAGATTTCGAGATCTGCTGAGGTGTGAGGTGAGTGGAGTAAATTCGTGGTGAGTTTAAAATTTGTGACGGTTGCTCACGTTTTCTAATTTATTTATTTTTGAGTTCCAGAACTGCGTGTTAGACTCAAGTCGCTCCCTGCGCGAGGGCGATTTGCTCCAGCTTTCCGATGGGTGGGGGACGAGTTGCTGCTGCGCCAGCTCAAAGTGTTCCAGCTAGCGGTATGTACATCTGCTGTTCTAAAATGAAGTTTTTGTAATTAGAGTAGGGGGTCAGCCACGTTCAGTGGGTCGGCACCGCCCGACCGGCCCAACCCCCTCTCCCCCTCCTCCTCCTTTCGCTCGCCGGCGGCCAGTCTCCCGTCCCCACTCGTCGTGTGCGGCCATGTGCGGCTGCCGGCGGCTGCTCCGGCCGGGCCGCCGCCTGCCGCCTCTAGTCGTCTGCCCCTACCACTTTCGACATGAAAATGTGCGCGTATAGTTTGTTGAGTGCTGTTGTGTTTTCAAAGTAGTTTCAACCATATGCACAAAACGATAGTGAACATGGAAAGGAGTGTTTACCGCGAGCTAGCCATTTTATAAAGTCAGAGGTGGGGGAATGGGTGCACGGAGGGGCAATTGTTTTCGTTTATGTGCATTTTTGTGTGCACGTGCTAACGAAAGTCTTTCTGATCAGGACGCCAAGAGCACGTTACTGTCATGGACGCAGCAGGAGCTAGCTCCATCCGGAATAGTCTCAACCTCAGCCCGGAACAGTCATCAACACCCAATCCGGAGTCATCTCTTCCAGCGGGAGTTCCAGATAAAGTAAGTAAATACACTTATTACATGTAGGATTTTCAGTCGCCCCCACCATCCTTTGGAAGTGTTTGGCCACGCAAAGCGCGTCGCCCCACTCCGGCCGCGGCAAGCGCGGTCGTTCAGAAATGAATCTCCTATGCCCCCCTCCCTCCCGCCCCCTCACGCCCCATGTATATCGCGCTCGCGTTTAACTTTCAAAGCATCTTCTATGTCCCATAATGGTTTTATTACTATCACACTGTAAAAATATGTTATGAGATTGGCAACTTATTTTGTAATGTAATATTTACAAAATGTATTGTACATGGTCATCATCGCACTTTTGCTTGACAATAGATTTCAGGTTGATACGCAAGGCTTGTAAATTTTGAAAATATTTTCTAATCCCTCCTGTCCGGTACAGTACAATATCCCCCAAGTACAAGTGCTCCCTTCAATGACGAAAGGAACCCCCCCTCCCCCTCCCTTCAATGCCTTTGGGTACAACTTAGCGCCTGCAATTGGTGGATAGGCAACCCAACAAATGCTCATCATGGAATACCCTAGTTGTACGGTGCAACGCGTACAGTCCCCAGATGCTGGTTCAAATAGGAACGGCCGGGCATAACAGGGAGAGGTGGGGTTCTCTCTCTGAACGCATGTTGTCGGCTGCGAGCAGTTGGGGCCTGTGGCCGCCCCGCGCCGCCCCGCGCCGCCCCGCGTCGCTCCGCCCCGCACCGCTCCGCCCCGCACCGCCCCGCGCCCCCTCACGTCGTCCATCATTTATCTAACAAATATCCACAGCATTCATAACAGTTTAAAACTATTAATTAGAATGGCAGTTTACAATTGGGGAAAACTGCTCTCAATCCCACAGTTTGCGTGGAATTTTAACAATTTCACGGTTTGGAACTTGAACACGTTATTCAAATTAACAGCTGAAAATTGTTGTTAATGCTGTTTAGTGCTCCACGCCCCTTCCCTCTCCTCCCCGGCACGCCTTGCCCCGGCAAGGCCTTATGTATTCTTCACAATAAATTGGTTTTACTAATATTTTTTCCTGTTGTTTTACAGGAAGAGAACTGCACTCCGCCGAAATGTCTCGATAACGACGCTACTCATTTAAAGTGGAAAATTCCGGCGGATATCAAGAACATTAAGTTTTGTACCACAGTGTGTTGCAATATGGTGTGTGTTGTATAATCTTCAACAATAAAATTCGTCTTCCTTATGTCCGAGTAAATCAATTACTGTTCCCATGCGTATTTAATTAAAAACAAAAATATTACGCTCTAAAATAGCCAGGGGAGCACAGATGTGTTGTGGTAACACGAGTACAGGTGCTGAGTAAGGTCGAGCTAGCAGGTTGGGGGATGCACTGTGGGTTGCCTAAATACTGGAATTTTGCACTACAAATTATGCATTCACCAGGGTGCTTTTAGGTACCAGGACAGGCGCCTGCACCCAAATAAGTGCTGCAAGATAAAAACAAGGGCTGAATGTGAGGAAAAATGTTTAACTATGACAACTCTCATACTTCAAAGATCACTCCTAAAATTTAAAGGAGGGCCCATCTGAAGGGCATTTCAAACATTTGGGGGGGGGGGGGAGACAGCATAGTCTGAAGAGTTTTCCGAAGACCTTGGAATCTCACACTTTTCCCTTTTCCTCTAAAATTCAGACAGCTCTAGGTTCATTGGGTGAACGTTTCTTTCAAAACGATTCAGTAAATGCACTCCAATAAAGCCGTATATCACAAGACAAAAACCTCAGAGAGCGCTTTATTTTTTATATAGACAGTAGTATTTTGAAGCGTACACGAGAACCAAACACCAAACTCCCTTTTGCACTGGCTTTGCATGGTATGACGGTCAAGTGCATTTTGCTCTCAACAGTCTCCAGATCCATGGCATCGAATTAAGAACATGCCAGCCGAGACTAATTTGGTTTTGAATCTACCTCTCACTAAATCAAGTGCAAACTGAATACGGAAATGAGATCCTGCTGTGGCCCTTTTGAAGTCCATATACTTATACCAAACTCCACAGGGACTGATCCGAGGCCCAGCGGTGCTCGGCTATAAAGGGTCAGTGTGGCGAGGAAACGGGACTTGGATCAAGTTCAAAATGTACTAGAGACTATCAAGTGCAAACGGACCTCGATTTGAGTGCGGTGGACTTGAATCAAGAACTCGCTTTTCTGGGTGCAGTTATTTTTTTATTTTCGAAATTTTTATAGTGCATGAGTGCGACAGGAATGGAGGTACGGAGGCGATCTTCTGAATCAGTCGACTGTTGGCTGGCTGTGCATTCTGATGGTACCCCTGGTGGTCCACTGAGTGCCAGCCCCGGTTGCAGCTCTTGCTTCCCCTGTCCCGTAACGTAACCTGTTTTGGTTTGCTCTGGCTGGGCGGATCAGCCCTTCTCCACCGCAGCGCAGCGCCCCAAGAACAACCCCGCCGCCTACCCGCCTCGCTCCAGCAGCAGCAACGTGGTGCAATGGGAGCAGCCGGGGCCAGAGAGGGTGGCCTTTCCAGAGCAGCTTCCCCACCGCAAACATGTCGTGGCGCTTGCGGTGTCGCGTAGGAGAAATCGACAACTGGGAACTTGGGGGCCTCTGATTCTCCCCCAAAATAACGCATTGAAGGGTACTCCGCCGAGACGAAACCGGATCCCTAGATGCCTCCTGAGCGCGCATTGGCTGATTGCGACAGTAACGTCACCGCAGTTTTCCCAAGTTGAGGCCCCCGAGGTGTTATACCTCAATCAGAGTTCAGGAGTAAATAGAAACGTAGGAGCGGCGGTTGTGCTTTCCTCCTTCAGGTTCCGATTTCGTCTCACCCTTATGTTCTACCATGTGCGGCTGATAAACCCCGCACACTTTTGTGAGCACACTGTACCGCAGGCTTGCGTACAGGTTGCCGAGTCGCTCGGGGCTTAGAAGGCGCCGCGTGGTGGACAGCGACGGTGGGCAAACCCGCCCGCGCGCCTGCGTGTGCGGTAAAGTACAATTCAAATACAATACAAAGGTGGGCGGGTTTAATAAGCCATACCTGGTAGCCCGTGCTGGTATATTAACAACGAGTTTTTTCATGCTCCTGAACCAATTGTTGCCCTCTGAGTTTGCTTTGATGCACGCTAAATGTATAATACAAATATATGTTTTTTGCGCAAATGTTCCCTTTGACTTAAACCTACGTTTTGTTTTGAACAACTTTCTGCCCAAAACTGCAAGATTACGCACAAAGAAATGCATGAAAAAGTTCAGATTAACACAGAAATTTGTGCAAAGAAATTGATTGCTTAAATCCGTGCAAATAATTGATACAAATCGAGTTGGTGTGCACGCAATAAAAGCGCTGTAGACCTGGTGAACTATCTACTTGATGGCGACTTGATGGAGATAAAAGAGTACTCCAAATTGTCCGCGAGAGTCGCGGAAAGTGACATCCTGACGATCCACCTCTCAGAGCCTTCGCAAACAGCCTAATTTTCGCAATCGATTCGTATTGTTCTACCCCGTTCTACCCACAAACCTTACACTGATAAATCAAGTGTGCAACTGCTCAACACATGTCAGTGTGCAACTCTTCCGTTGAACACTTCTCTAGATCGCGATCCGCGGACGCTTACTGTAAGGCAAGTGTTCAATAGAGGAGTTGCACACTTAAAAGAGCACAAAATACCAAATTGAACACTTGCAAGTGTACTACTACTAAATTGAACACTTTCAAGTATTTAACATGCGGTTGTACACTTACAAGTGTTGAACAGTAGCACACTTAATTTATCACTTTACATTGGAGGATGATTTTGTGACCACATCCTAAAATTAATTGTACGAGCGATTCATCCATCGCTCGATTTCTATCCCCCTTCTTTTGGGGTACTTAATTCGACTTTTAAGTTGAGTCGAACTATTTGCTTACTTGCAACTGCAAACTGCAATACTACTCGTGTACCACATTTACAGGTGTGATACCATACACGTCTCACACTTTTGAACTCACGCTTGTTAGCGTGCGACACGTGTGGCCTCACACTTTGTAAGTGAAGGATATGTGTATTGCAGTTGCCAGGCAGAGGCCCTTGGTATAGACGGTTAGGGTAGTACCCGTGAAAAGAAGAATTAAGGAAATCAGCACAGGAAACAGTTCTAAAATAAAGGCTTAAACAAGTGCAAATGAGCCTTGACCCTACAGGTCATATGTCGAACTGCACTGTCAAATGATCAAAATCAGCGAACTTAAGGTACTGGTTCCGGTCCATCCATCCATTGCATTGCACTTACAACCGTTGGACTGCAGTCTAGAACGCAATCATCTCTGTCACAGAACACCTACCTGGAAAGCGGCTGGGTTTCGGCGATGCGCCGGCAGGTAAGTATCCAAACAGGGTTGCACTGCACACCACCTCACTGCACGCACGTTAGTGTCCTGTACTGGACCCACTGCACTGCCAGCAATTCGCACTGCGCTCTCGGGGACGTCCGGACACCGACTGCATTGGTATACGGCCGCGCCGGTGGATGTCCCCACCTAGGGCTGCTGCTCGGACGCGCCCCTCCGCGCCCTGGAGCATGCCTATCGCTCGCGAAGCAGCCGCTGCTGCCGCTGCCGCTGCCGCTGCTGCTGCTGCTGCTGCTGCTGCTGCTGCTGCTGCTGCTGCTGCTGCTGCTGCTGCTGCTGCTGCTGCTGCTGCCGCCGCCGCGACCGCCGTCGCTCCACGGAGGAGGGGGAGAGGCGGATCAGGGAGAGGGGCAGAGTATAGAGATGTACCCCCGCCCCTCCTCGTGAGAGGGCTCGTGTGACGTCCGCCGCTCGTCAGGGCCACCTGCAATAGCCCCCCCCCCCCCCACGACTCCACCCTACGCGGGCCAGAGATCATTACACACACAGGCATGCCACACCGCGTCGCGTAAAGGGTAAACAATAAAAGCGCGCGGGTGGCGTCCGGGACGCTGGGCGCTTTGCCTCGCGACGCTGGAGGCTTGCCTTGGCCGACTTGGAGCGGTATTCGGACGCGCCCGCCGCCGCGCCGACGCTGCTTCGCGGTTCACATGTTTTCGCCGGGAGCATTGGGCTAGACCGGCGCGGCGCGACTCTGTGTGACGGAGCGGAGTCAATGGGGAGGAACGCCTGACGAGACACGTGACACGTGACACGTGCCACGGGCCACATGATCCCACGTGTCAAGGCAAATTTAAGGCCGAGTTCTTCTCTGTTTTCGCTGCGGCTATTGTCAAGTAGGCCCAAGCTTGACGTACTCTCCCGCAAGCGGGCGGGTCACGCTTACGGGAGCGCGCTCCTCGGGCTGCGAGCAGGGGCAGGGCAGGGGGTGGATGTGCAGCATGACGGTGTGCAGGGCAACCCCTTTCTTTCCCCCGCCACCCTCTGCCGCAGACTAGAGAGACTGAGAGACATGGGTCACTACGCCCTATCTTGAATAAATGGTTTGGTTTCGCAGGTTCCGGAGGGGGGGGGGGGAGTTAAAAATTGACCATGAATGAGCGGTCATGGATGGTCCCTGAATCAGTTAAGGTTTCATTCATTTTGAGATTGAGCAGGTCGTAAAATTTTCTTAGATTAAGGTTTAGGAGGGATCAGCTCGGTAATGTTTCTGCCCGTCATCGTTTCCGTCCTCCTCCACTCGATTCAGGATGACCCAATAAGACGCGCAAGAGGCGCGCAAAAAGAGGCAACCCGGCGTTTCAGATGACAGATGGGAACAGCCGCTCCTCTTGCCTACTACACTTTAAAAAGGTCACGAAAAAAGTTTGTCTATAATATGGATCTTCTGTATATTTGTATGAATAATTTTTTGTGGTGTCATAGTTACGAGTATTATGAACAAGAGATTCGTGGAGGTCGATTCATCAAGTCTTAAGAGTATGTAGACTAGATTCTAATCAGGTGCGTATAAGTCGGCCCCGGGTAGCCGCCTGAAAGGTAGGCAAGTTAAGCTCGAAAACACATACAAACTGACAACTGACCTTACGCCGCCCCTTACTACGCCCCTGCCCCTGATGCCAATCCTCTCTCCTATCATGGACGCATTTCATACACACACTTCAGACTGACAAAGAAGCTCAGCGCAGAAACTGTTCCAGTTGTCGAGAGAGTGTAACCGAATGGCACCCGGCACCCCCTCCCCTTACCACACTCGCACCCGTCTCAGGGCCTTGGGCTTGGTCCGTCTGGGAGCACACTCGACACACCACTTGCACCTCTTACGTCACCTGTCACCCACAACATCAACACCACTAGCCCCTCCTCTGCAACACCCCATCCCATGCCCCGTAACAGTCCGAAACACCTGGCGCAAAAAAGCTCGTGTTGTGTGTACTACCTGTGTAACCACCACTTCATTAGCCCGGGGAGTCAAGTTCAAGTAGGGATCGCTCTCAGCGCTCGGTTACCTACACGAACGGAAAGGAGTGGTGAAAAGTAAATAGATTTCCGAAAACAGGAGAGAATGCACAGACCTCTTTCTGTGTCTGTGGCATAAAAAATCAAACAAAATGGGTTCAAGACAACAAAGAGCGCGAAGGGCGAGGGCTCGTAAGGGATAGGGAGAGGCGGGGAACAGGTGTGTGTGGCTCTCGTAAGACGGTTTGAATAAAGTTATTTTAATTTTCCTTTGTAAACAGTCGAGTACTTATTTTTAGTTTTTCGTTTAATTAAACTGAAATTTATGCTTGATTAAGGAATGTTTAGGCTGTTTTCACCAGGGGGGTTTCTATGACGGCGCGGGAGGTTTACAACGTCCTATAGGAAGTCCTAGGGGACTTCAGGAGAAGGGGAAGTCCTAACGTGTACTGACTATGACATGACACAATTTTTCCAACCACTTCTAATCCAAACCTCGTCCATCTTTGTCCAATGCCTAATCTACAACGGGGAGGTTGTAGCCGGCGGCGGCAATGCGAACAACTGACCGCGCGGGGGTTCCCGCCTGCCTGAATGAGCGATAGAGGCAGAGAGAGCGAGAGAAAGAGATAGTTGAAATGCGTACGCTGGGTTATACCTGTAATGGTCCACTGCAGGTCATGTAGATCAGTTTATGAGGCGAGTGAGAGTAATCGGTCGTCAGTATCAGCAACATAGCTGCTCACTCGGAAACCTCCACACTGGATGCGTGACGCGTGACGCCTGACAGCGGCGAAAGAATACGTCGTCAAGCAAAGATCATAAGTTTTACAGGTGTGGTTTCAGGGGGCGTGGTGGGAAGGGGGGGCGCGGGGGGCGTTTATAAAGAAACGCCTGAACGGTAGGCAATTTGCGCTACAAAACCCCAGTATGTAGGCAACCAACAGTACATCGACCCCTCTGTCCGCCGGACCTTAAACTGCGCATGAAGATTAGGGCATGGCATGGAGTACCGGGTGGCTGATTAACTCCGCGCACTTCTGTAGTTAGACTGTACCGCATGCACGAGTGCGGGCGGGTTGCCTACTCGCCCGGCCCGTAAGGCGCAGTGGACAGGGGCGATAGGCAAGCCCGCCCACAATCCTGCGTGCGGTAAGTCTAACTACAGAATTGTGCGGGGTTAATCAGCCACCTGGTATATAGGGTTACGGTTACGTGATTTTACTCTCTCACCGTTTGCATTATTCTTGATTTTTTTTCGACCGACTACGTTTTGGAGCATGGAGGGAAACACATCAAATTATGTGGGGTATTAACTTCTTTTTCAACCCTTGGCCGCTTAGTCGATAACCGATAACATATCAAAATACTATCTATCTTATACTTTCAATACACCCCCCCCCCCCTTTCGAAGTGATGAAAACGGGATACCGATCAAACGTTTCTACATGCTCTTGAAAGCTTATGTTCAAAATTTCATGCTTCTGTACCAAAACGGAACGGTTGCCAAAAAAGTTCGGCAAAACTACCCGAGCACCAGGGATGTTAACGTTAATACGAAAAAGTAACGCGATAACGGTAACGTTAACCGGGAAGTCGGTTAACGTTAACGCGATAACGTTAATGATTTTTAAAAAAGTAACGCGATAACGCTAATTAACAGCATTAACGCCGTTAACAATAATCATTTTCAAAATATATTTAAAAAAAAAATGCTGTTGAGAGTACAGCGGTTGCACTGGAAATGCAAGTGTGTGAATGTCGCTCACCTGCAGCTGAGCGACAATCCATTCGTACACTTAGGGGGGTAAAGGTGTGAATTTTTACTAGAAAATTCACACGTTTACCCCCTTAAGTGTACGAATGGAATGTCGCTCACCTGCAGATGAGCGACATTCACACACTTGCATTTCCAGTGTGTGGTCGTCGCTTTTCTGTCGCCGCCGCGTCAAGTCCGAGACCAAGAGTGAGGTAGTGTAGCGTTAAAATAGCTTTCGGGCACGATTTGCTTTATTTTCCTGTACTCTAAACGTTGCTTTTTCATTAAATGTCTTTGTCTTTTGACGGAAGTCGGGAAATCGATAAAACTTTAACGCCGTTACTGCGTTAACAACATCATTAACGGAGCGCGCTTACGTTAACGCCCGGTTAAAAATGTAACGCGATAACGTTAACGTTAAATTAACGTTAACGCGATAACCTTATCGCCGTTAACTCGTTAATTAAAGTTAACAACCCTGCCGAGCACACCGAGGTGGAGTGAGTAGTGGCTCCGCCCGCCTGCCAGGCAACACCTCTGCGCGGGTGTCCGGATGTTGCCTAGTAGGCAGGCGGCTAACACACAGGTGTGCTCCGGCGGCTTTTGCCTATCTGGAACAGCCTGCCACCCGCCACGCCAAGCCGCGAGTATTCACTTCGCGACCACCGCGAGGGCCGCGGGGGCCTGCCCGGCCCGTCCGCGGCGGCGTGTGGGAGGGGAAGGCAAAGGGGGAGGGGGTCCCTCTCTCCTCTCTCGAGTTTTCTGCAAATAACGTTTTTACGACGTATACGCAGGAGTTCATCTGCATATTACGGATGCATCAGCTATTTACACGAATTTCTACGAATAGTCACAGCAAGTAAAACAAAACTTGCAAGTGACGGCGATGGTCAGTTCCAAAAAAATATACACCTGAATTCCGAACTTTTTTTACCGTTCGACAATTATTCAAGGTTTTTTGTTGCACAACCTGTGATAATTTCTTTGGCAGAACCACTTAAATTACTATGGTATGTTTCGGAATGCTTGTAAAGAATTCTACCATAATATCCTAACCTCTATCATTCTCGTGTAGTGGTGTAGCGCAACTATCATTATCTGTTTTGTGTCCTAAAATCTTTTCGCAGCCTAAACAACAGAAAAAAGGTGTAACGCTTGACAATGTCTCCCATCCAAGGAGTAGAAAAGCCATTAAAATGTTCAAGGAAAGTAAAAAGTAAGTACAAGTTTCCAAATGCCTCCCCTAGATTATTTACATTTTATTTAATCACTTTTAAAAGAAATGAATCTTCTACATATTCTAGACATGCAGCTAGAGAGAAAACTAAAATGGCTACATATGTGAAACAAAACCTTATTGGTGAGAAATTGTTGTGGTTTAAGGAAAGGATTCCTACGGACGTCACCATTTGTTCTAAAAGTTGCATCGATGAACTTCTTCAAACGTCAGTATTCTCATTTCCTTTGTTCTCCTGTTTATGTGAGGCATAGATTTTAATTTTGCTGTCTTCCTGTGTAGGTACCTTAGTAGATTTGATGAAGAACTTGAACAAATACGTATGAAGCATTCCATTGGGCAGCGCAAAAATCGTCAACATGCTAGTCGAGAGGATTTAATTCGTCACACTCAAGAGAGAGAGAAGGAGGAGTACAATACATGTGGAATGGGTTAGTATTCATTGCAATTCAACTGTCAAGTTTTTTATTATGGGAGTGGCCACAATCCTGGGAGTCAGAAAAAAGTCAGGAATATTCAAATTGGTTCTGAGTAAATGACTGTTGCACCATATTGTTGCTTTGTTGAGTTTTGTGTGACATTTTCAAGTTGTGTTTGGTCAAAATGTTGTACAGACATTGCCTAACAGAAGGTCAGGGTTTTCATTCAAGTTAAATATGAGAAAGTCTAGGAATTTCAAAACTAAAATTGTGTGGCCACCCTGATTAAAAGTGACCATTTCTTGTAAAGTCTTACGCCCACATTTCACTTTACAGAAATGCCAAACCTTTTAGATGCTTCTCAAGTAAAGATTCTTCGCGAATGGAATGGCGAGCTGCGGTTTCTACAGAACTTCAAGCTAGTCCGATTGGGAAAAAAACATTTACAGGAATCAAGTACTATGGATATAGATGAGCTAGGTACCACATCTGAAAAACCTATTGTTGAAAGTACAGAAACCACTGTTGAAGCGTTGCTCTCAGAGGACAAAGATGAGAAAATGACTGAATAAAATTCACAATATCTGGCAAAGCAGTGTCGGCAGTGATTCTGCCATTTTTATGTGTTCTGTCAATCAGACACGCATACCAGAATAGTGATGCTCAAGGCCTTAAGGTATGTTGACGTTGACACGAGCTAATTGCTTACATGGTTACTTAGAGCCACCCACCCAACATTATTTTGTAGAGCGTGGCACCCTGAACTGGGGCTGGTCAGCCCGTCAAGCCATGCTGATATTTCTTTGCTCTGCCCATTATCCGAATTATGTTTATTTTCCTGAGTTTCTGGCATTTTCAACCTAAACTTTCTGTTCGGTTTTCCCCCGACTCTACCTACCTCGAAAACTTTCGTTAAATTACTTGTAAGTGCGCGTTGCGGTGGCTGTTTTTTCCCGCCACTTCCGACATGACGAGGCGCGTTACTTTCCTCGCCCTCTGAGCCGATGTGACCTTGGTGATCTTGCGGTCGGCTTATTGTCGGATGCACAGCTCAACGAGACCTTACAACGGGTTACGGGTGACGCCCGCGGGCCCGGGCTTTGGAACATGCAGACCTTAGATTCTTGTTGAATGAAAAATCAAATGAAACTGCAACCTCCCCTGCCCCTCCCCTTCCCTCACTTGTTGACCAACTTTGGCCATGACACATGACACCGCGCCCTACCCGAGGCGGCCGTGGCTTGCGTTTAGTTAACAGGGTGCTACTCTCGGGGCTCGCTAATCCCAAGCGTGGTAGGGCTAGTAACCCAGTGAGAAATGGAAAGTAGAATCAACGTCGAAGTCACATCGAAACGACGGAAAACTGGTCGAAACGACATCGTTTCGGAATGCATTTCTCACTGGGAGGGAGGCTGTCAAGTGAAGCAGCCGCTGGGATAACTTACGTACGCACCAACGCACGCATGCCCGTTTGAGGGTAACCGCGCGGGGGAGGCATGGGTATGGGGAGCTGGTGGTTCAACCCCCGTCCCCAGGCCGGTTCTCCCCTTACCCTCAAACGGCCATACGCATACGGGCGTCAAATCGGGTACTTGACTTGACAGCTTCAGAGCTGCCCCCCCCCCCTCCCCCATCGGTTGCCTACTGCACTTGCTTGCCTATCACCGGGCGCGGCCCTGGCCCGGGCTGAGCAGTCAGCTGCCACACGAGGGCCGGCCGAGCGCAGCCAGCTTGGTCAGCACTGGAGGTGCAAAGTGCAGCGCTTACAGGGGGCGGGGACCGCCGCCCCTCTGCGGGCGCATTTCGCAATATGGGATATCGGGTGGCACCCACAGGTAATGCGATATCTTGGGTGGAATTAAGATGTTTTCGTTTTGATGTACGTTTCCCGGAACACGGCGCACAGCGCAGCACACCGCGAGGCGCGCGCGCGTTCCGCGTGACACACGTTTTGCGGTCAGCCCCGCGGGAGGCGTTGTTGAGGTGGACTTCGTTCCGGAACCGCGCGCTACGTCTCTCTCCCCCCCCTCCTTTCCCCTCCCTTTTCCTGTCCAGGGTGCCCTCGGCGCCACCACCCTGAGCCACCCCCCCGGACCAACGACAAGGGTCGCAAGTGCACACAGCGCGTACTGCCCGCCGGCCAGCATGTGCAGCGCACACCACACCACGCGGAAGCGCTCGCCTCAGGGGAAATTGTGCCGTTTCAGGCACGACGGCCCGCAGCCTGGACGGGGCGCGTCCGAAGTGTGGCCGCTGCCGCGACGGCCCGAGCCCGCGGTGGTGTGGGGTGTGCTGTTTTCCGGACGCGGCCCTGCTGACCAGGGTGCAGGGGCGGAGAGGGTGCCTGGCCGAGGTGGCGCTGGGCCCGTCAGTCTGAACCAGAGAGCCCAAGAGGACTGAACTGACCGGAGAGTCAAAACTACTTCCAGCCACCGGCTGTTTGCAACAAGGACGCCCAAGGAGGTGAGTACACAGGTCGTGTGGGCCGTGTCGGTCCGGCACGGAGTGTGGCGGGCTGCAGGGGCCGTGGCGCCTAACGCACGGAGGGGCACACCTGTCACGGGTGATTCAGAGAAGACGCAGGTGCGGGCGGGTTTGCTTTCCTTAGGGACCATAGCGCCTTACGGGTAGAGTGAGTAGGGAAACCCGCCCGCACCTGCGTCTTCTCTGAATCATCCGGTGCGGACTTGCCTATGGCAAGTGGTCCGTCGTGCGCCCCCGTGCGATCAGGCAACAAGCCCGCGCGTCTGCTGCGTGCGGGACAGTTTCACTACGAGGAGCGGCACGGCGTCGACCGCCCGTCGCATAGAGATGTAGGGTATGCGTCGTGTGTGGTCTCCGTTCGCCTGTTTGATGGCGTGCCTGTGGTAGAGGAGAGCGTCACTTCGCGCCCGGTTCGGCTGTGGCTGTTGCGGGCCAGGGACTTCCCTCTAGATAGGGTGTTCAGCCTTCAGACTTACCCAGCCATAATGGGGGCAAGTAGGCCGTGCTGTGAACAGGGGCGGATTAAGGTTTGGCTGACGGGGGGGGG